GGTTTTGGAATCAAAGTAACACTTGCTTCCAGGAATGAATTTGGAAGCCTTGCTTCCCTTTCAATTTCCTTGATGAGTTTAAAGAGTAATGGCAGTAGTTCTTCTTTAAATCTCTTGTAGAATAACACATAAGCTTTTGAGGGACATTCTAGATCCAAACCGTGCCAGCATTCCACTAGGCTGGCAATAAATTCCATTTCAGTCACAATCTGGGGTGCTCTGCTCCTCCTCTGGGTCACAGAAGAAGCTGAGGCTAACACAGTAATTGGAAAACTAGCACTTGAATTTGTCTTGCATCAGGTAGGCATTGCTCTCCCCCATGTCCAAGCTGGAGAAGTTCCTTGAGACCTGGTGGGTTTTTGTTTCTATGCTAGATACCAAACACAGGTCCCCAGGGGTCCCCAGGGGTTAACCTGCTCTGTGCTTTCTGCACGGTGGTTTTGCCACCCTGTGCTCTACTAGAACCAGGCCACAGTGCCCCTTCATGGGAGGGCACTGGCAAAAGCTCTCCATTTATGGCCACTGTCCTCAGTGACTGAAGGCTCTCATAAAACAGAGATGCATGCTGACATCATGCTGCTTCTCCTTCGGGCATTGTCAACATGTTGGTGGGAGAGAAAGATGCAAAGCCCATGCCCACTCTCAGCAGGGCAGCATCCAGGAGAACAAACACAAATTATTATCTTGATGAATTGTCCCATGGTGCTTATCTGGATCCCCAAAGGCATTGCCTAGACATAAGGCCTAGTCCACAGTACATACTTAAGGAGGATCTAGATGAAAAGTGAGCATTAAAATTTGGCTGTTTCAGCTTGTACACTGAACACATCTGGAAGATTCCACTCAAATAGACTTAGTCATCGTTAAGCTGGTTTCCTGGCAGATGTCTTGCAAAACACCTTGGAGAAGGGGAGCTTTTTCTAATGTGTACAACCTCATATGATCTAGTGGTGGTCCTGACAGAGCCCTGTACCTTTTTCTGAATTTTCTCATTCAGTTCCTTAAAATGGCACAAGTTGATCAAGCATAAGATGCAAAACATTGAGAAGTCAAAGCCATTAGTTTGAATATTCACATGAAGCACATCAAGAAGCAAATTTTAAGATAATTTTAAAAAAACAAGTTACAGAGATTAAGGAAAGATATAGTATTCAGAGTTAAATCTTTCCTACCCAAAGATGTTCATTACAGGATGTAAGAGAGTCATTAGCATCGTGTCTGTATAATTTATGGATACTTGTTACTCTATTCGTGAATTTTTCATAAGGGAATTGTTCCAAATACAGTAGTTTTTAAAAGACTTCTTTTTCTTAATCTCTTCCTTGTTGCAATTTGAACCTCCCTTGCGTAAGAGTACTAATGATTGAGAGAGAGCATTACTCCTCTGACCTGCATAAAGTAGCTTTCATCTCTATGAAGACAGTATCAAAGGATTCACTTGTGCTTTTACAGTAAAGAAAATACTGTCCTTTTGTTTTTTCACAGGTCACATGGCCAAGGAGCCTGTGGAAGACACAGACCCCAGCACTTTCTCTTTTAACACGGTAGGTTACACATGTTCCATTTGTAGCCACACCCCTTTTTTGCTTTTTTTCTCTTTTGTTACTTCACATTTTCTTTACTGAGTTTTTGCACAAGGTCAGAAACCCAAAGTAAGATTTCCTATCTTCATTTGGAGTTCTCTGTGACAGAATAAATGTTGGGTTTCTCCGAGCTAGCTAAAAATGGTGTGCGTTGGGTCCTATTCCTGTTTTGTGTATACCAGAAGTGATCTTAGATTTTGGAAAGTCTTTCCATACCTGTCTACTTTGAATACTATTGGTCTATTTTTAATTATTCTTTCTCAAAATTCAAACTATCTAGGGCTGGGGATTTAACTCAGTGGTGCCTTGCCGGTCCTGAGTTCAATCTCTGTTCCAAAAAAAAAAAAAAATCAAAGTATCTAATGTGAGAATGAAGGTAAAATAGGACAGTATTTCAGGAACTGGGCAGAGAAGGGCACACACTGATTTGCCTCTGTTAACACCTTTAATCCCTGGAGCCCTGGCCTCTCCCACCCTCCAGTCTGAGGCCCGTTGATTGCTGTGAAGTTATTAAAAAAGTCACATGCATTGGTTTTTCTCCTCCAGGCCCCCTGTGAGGTGGTGGGCAGGTGGTCCTGTCCCACTGCACAGGGGTGCAGTGACAGTGAGCAGGCATGGGCACAGCCCTGCAGCCTGGACTATGAGCAGCATAGATCCACCACACCCTCCTCGCCATGATGTTTTTGCCTCACCACAGACCCAGAAACAATGGAAACAGTGGAGCCAAGTGACCATGGACTAGAAACTCTGACTTCATGAGCCAAAATAAACCTTTTCTTTTTTTATGTTGATTTTCTTAGGTACTTTGTCACAGAGACAGAAAGCTGACCACATAGGTCAGCTTTTCCATTCCTGGAGAAAATATCTGACATCTGCACCTTAAAAGAGGAGAGGTTTAATTTGGCCCATGGTTTCAGAAGTTTCAGTCCATGGCCAACTGACTCTAAGGCAGGAACATCATGGCAGAAGGGTGTGGCAGAGCAAAGATGCTTAGTTCATGGCAGCCAGGCAATAGAGCAGGGGAACAGTGCCAGGAAGGAAAGAGCCTGAACCAGATATAATATCCAGGGTCACACTTCCATAACCTACCCAGCCACACTCAGAAGTGTGCTTTACTAATCTCCTAGACTTAATCAAGTCATGTTGACAATTAAAATTAACTGTCACATTGACACAGAAGAATTCTTTCCTACGTGCATCAGGAGGAGCGTGGCCCTGCTAACACCTTGATCTTGGACTTCGAGCATTCAGAACAGTGACAGAACACACGTTGTCATTGTAGGCCACCCAATATGTGGTATTCTGTCAAGACAGCCCTAGAAAACCAACAATAGGGAAGCTGTGGAAACATCATTTTGTTCTCAGTGTGGACAGGTCAGACCATGACCCAAGATGAGGTAGCCATGACCCACTTCCTTCAACTAGGCTCCATTTTCTACCATTTCTACCACCTCCCATTCGTCCAAAGATGAGATCAACCTTCAAGGCACAGTCACTTCTCAAAGCCTTACCCCTGAACATTGCTGCATTGGGAAGCAAGCCCTCAACACATGAGCCTTGGGGGACATTTCAGATTGAACCATAACCACCCCTGCCCCCCCGCCCCTCCCCTCATTTCCTCTAACTGCTGGTGGTGGTTGCATGCAATCCTGGACACTCCTTGGCTTTTAGGTGCAAGATGCAGTCTCTCACTTTTTTAGCACATGGCCATCCTCTCAGTGTGTGCCTTGTTTTTATGTCTTTTCTCCTCCTCCTCATTCTCCTGCTCCTCCTTCACCTCCTCTTTCTTCTCTTCTTTCTCCCCTTCCTCCCTCCCTTCTTCCCCTTCTTTCTCCACCTCCCCTGCTCCTCCTTCTCCTTCCCTTCTTTCTCTCTTTTTTTTGTGTTGTGCTGGCACTTGAGCCCAAAGTCTCACACATACTAGATAAGTCCTTCACCACTGAGAGTGCATGTAAATATCCACAACCCTCTTTTCTCTTCTTATAAGGATGTCAGTCGCATTGGCTTGAGGGTCCACCCTACTATACTATGACCTCATCTTAACTAATTATATCTATAACCCTAAATCCAAAAAAAGTCACATTCTGAGATCTGAGGGGTTATGATGTGGATATATTCTTTTCAGGAGACATAACCCATAGCATCCTGCTGCCTACAGGCTTACGTGTACACTCCTTACTGTGACGGATGAGGTCCTCCATGACCTTATCTTGACATCTGCTGTTCACCTGCTGAGCCAGTTTCATGTAGCTGTTTGCTGTCCCTTAAATGCTCCTTGCTCTCTCACCTTCCCAGAACACCAATCCTCTGTTCCCTCTGTCAGGGAAGTGTCCGTGCTTCCTCCCAGAGTGAACTCCTATACATCCTCCCATTGTGGCTCAGGCATCTTCTCATCCACAGAGCCTTCTCTGCTTGGGGCCCTCAAAGGTTCCCTTCCCCATGGCTTGGTCACTGTGGTTATCTCTGGATTGACTCTCTTGCTTGTCTGACTTCCAACCACACTGGGTTGACCATTTACCCACATGCAGAGCCACACGTGCAAGATAGGTAGCCACTCATACTTGATGCAGCAAGCGTCCTAAGACCTCGAGCTTGTTCCTTTGCTTCACTTTCATGCTCCTTGCAAACTGGCTCCATCATTCCATATTTATCCCTGTCTTCTTCTATCGACCTCCAACAGATTCCTCTATTGCAGGAATTCCTTTCCTATACCTGCTGCTGTTCCACTCACTGGCCCTTGTTCCTGCTATGTCTGCCCTCTGCAGTGACCTTGCTCCTTCCTTGGTTCCTTCTTTCTGAGTCCTGGCTATCGCTTGAACATCAGTTTTTCCAAGAGACCCACACTCCCTCCCGCCTGTGTTTGTCCAGGGGGACTTTCTGCTGATCTTCACTTTGCCCTGCATCAAAATCTCCGAAGTGGTTCACAGTCTAGCTGAAGGAGTGGACAGAGCCTTCCACAGCAGCCTGAGAAGGGTGTGGCCCAAGGATGTGGTCCACCCTGTGGGGAGCAGTAGCGAGAAGAGTAGCTGGGATGGAACTATTTGACATTTCAGGTCCCTGTGATTAATTCTGGTTCACTTACTGATTTTTGTTAGGAAAGAGTTGGAGCCTTCTAGAAGTTCTAAAACTTCACTGCCCGGCTCCATAGGAACTCAAGGAAACCATCAAAATAAAACCCTAGATTCCATATTTACTTCTTTTTCTCCTTTGTCAAGGAAGGCATGGGAGAGACCTTCAGGAAATTTGACAGGAAGTGTGAACCCTTGTTCAGACTGGAGGGTTGGGAACAGTGGGCACATTTTCATTCTCGTCATGGAAGCTTGAGAGGAAGGCTGCATTGTTTAATTGGAATAAGTTTCCAGAACATTAGATATCTACAGATAGATGTGAACAAATTAAATAATGTATCATTGTAAGAACATTTGCAACTTGAATTCCCTTTAACATGGGGGCGTCTTAGTCGCTTTGCCATTGCTGGTACCCAATACCTGATACCCACAACATAAAGGAGAGATTTATTTGGCTCAATTTCCAGTGGGTTTTGTCTCTGGTTGGCTGGCTCCAAGGCGGAAACAGCATGGTGAAAGGACCTGGCAGAGGGAAGCTGCTCATTCCATGGCAGCTAGGAAGCAGAAAGAAAAAGGAGGAGTCAGGGACAAGAATACACCCTTCCGGGTCACATCCCCGGTGACCCACCTCCAACCAGGCCCTACCTCCTAACAGCACAGTCAGCTTCCAAAGTCACCAATGGATTAATCCACTGATGAATACAGTACCCTCATGATCTAGTCACATCCAGTAGCCCCACCTCTGAACACATGAGTCCCATCTCTGAACACGTCTTCCCTTAGGAAGACATTTTAGACTTGAAGCATAACAGGTCTACCCTCAACCAGTGTCTTGAGGACTGTGCATAACTGCATAATTAGTGACTGATCTTTAGATCTTTGCACAATTGACAGATTGGTTACCTTTGAGATCCAGTTCTAGGATTCGAACCCAATAGTAAGCACTGCCCAGAACACACACTCATTGACCCATATGACTGTCACAGAAATGGGAAGAAATGGGTCTGTTTCCACAATGCATGAAAAACAAAGGCCTCTTGATTTCAAGCTGCAGGAAGTAGACGGGGGGGGGGGGATAGCACAACAGAAGAGAGGAAGTGTGGGTTAGTGGTCAGAGCCAAGAAAATTAGAGTAAAGCTTATTCTACTTCATGTCCCAACATTCACTTCTTGTCAACCTTGATTTCAAGTCTATAAGCTGAGAATAAAAACAGTCAGTGAGGCAGGCCTATTGACAAGTCTGAGGCTAACCATTTCCAAGGTTTTAAATTGAAACCATGACTTTCCCAAGACAAAGCTTTCTTTCACTTTTATCTTATAATTTGACATTGTAAAATAACTCTTTTCTTTTGTTTGTTTCTACAGTCAGACAAATATCCCATTCAAGATACAGGACTCCCTAAAGGTATGTGCAGTTACTATAACTACTTGAACTTGTGATTAATTTAATATCTTGAACAAAGCACTAGTCAAAGTAATTTTTCATTATTGAAAGTGGTAAAACAAATTCAGTAGTAAATTAACTCATGATTATCTCAGAAATGAATTAAATGTATAAATTATTTTATACCAAATGTTACATTAAATTCCTGTGGTTTTTGTTGTTGTGTTACTGGGGATTGAACACAGGGCCTTCACACTCAGCTACATCCCCAGCATTTTTTTTATTTTGAGAAAGTATCTTGCTAAGTCACTAAGTTGCCCCGTCTACATTTCAAATTGTGATCCCCCTGCCTCAGCCTCCTAGAGTACTGGAATTATAGGTGTGTCACCATGCCTGGCTTCCTGTGGTGTTTTTATCAGAGTCCTGTAAGATTGCCTGGACTCTGGGTTCAAGTGAAAGAAGCCTAACTCAAATTTGTTTAAAAAGGCAGGGGTTCCTGAGCACTACTGGATGCAAGGGTTTAAGGATACTCTCAGGCTATTTCTCCGCTTCAAGCTCAGCTTTCTTCTGTGTTGGCTCCATTCTCAGGCAGGATTTCCCCTCACAGAGGGAAAGTTGACCCCCAGCAGTGCCAACATCAGGCTATGGTGCTCAGTATGGCAGAGAAGTGGCCCCAGCATCTACAGCAGTTTTCAAGATGACTGTGATGGGGGCAGCTTGGGTTCATCATGTGCCTATCCCTGAATCAATTCCTGCCATCAGGAGGACAGGGGACATTGGCCAGCTCTGAGCCTTGAGATCAGGAGGGGGAGGGCATGATGTAGATTGCATCTGAACCACAGGAAAGAGTGCCCTGTGGCTGGACAAAGAAGCAAGGGAAAGCAAACCAAAGCAGCTGTCTTTTACAACTCAGTCTCAGGCTTAGACGTGGTGCAGACCACAGAGGTGGCCGGGCCCTGGCTTTCCATAATCCCTGCTGCAGGGTGGGCTGCAAGGCCATCTTTCATGATGAGGGCCAAACTGTTGTTTGTCTCCCTGGAACTCTGCTGACAACCTGGAGATGAAGGAGGTTGGGTGGGAGCAGTCACATGTGTCTTCAACGCTAGCAGGGCTCCTGGCTTCCTGGTCACCATGGCAAGATGGGTCTGCCCAGCCTCTGCTCCTACGGATTTCCCTGGCACACCCCAATGTGGTGGGAATGGTAGGAAGCTTCCCACCTGGGCCAGTCTGGTTAATTCAGAGTTCAGCCAAAGCTCTCCATCCATATCCCCACCCTCTTCTCCCTGCCCTGTGAAGTGACAGACACCATTAGGGTATCCTTTCTTTTCTTTCCTGGGCATGTTCCTGGGGTGGTGATGGTGTAGGGAACACTGCCTGGGCCAGGTTTGGATTCAAACCCTGGTTGTGCTGGGGGAGGTTTCCAGCAATCTCTCTTCCCCTTTGCCCTGTCCTTGAAGGGCCCCTGAGTCTCGGAGTCCCTGAGGTGGGACTTGATCTCAGCAGGCAGTGAAAAGTGCAAATCTGGCAGCAGGGATGGATAGGAGGCCAGTGTGGGCTGGTTCTTGGGCTTCTGTTTGCATTCAGGGGTTTAGAATGCAGACTTGTGGGTCTGGGATGGGGCCTCGGAATCTGCATTCTATCCCACATCAGTGTGGTTGGGATGTAGACCTTGCCTGGGATGCTTCCAGGAATGTAGAAGGGAGAATCAAACCATGTCCAACAGCTTGGCTCAGTAAATGATTCCAGGTCTCAGGGTTTTTGTCTCCTCGTCTCTGGAGTAGAAAGGACCAGGTTGGCATTCCCCTTCCAGGATGCTTGTGAGAATTTAGCGAAGCAGGGTCTAGAACTGTGCCTGGCACACTTGAGCAGCAAACGGCCTTGGAGGGACAGTTGGGCAAAGAATTGTGGAAAATCAGGGTGGAGGTTTCAGAAGTTCCTAAGCAGAGGGCTTGAGGTAGGATTGCCTTGGTCATCTGCCTCAACATCTTTTCTTTATCAACCTTGAATGAGATTTGTTGTTTTGAAAGATTGTTGCTGAGCAACCTTGATCCTACACTTACTAGGTTTTGCCTAGAAGTTGAGTTTACAGAACGTTTATTAGGACTGGAAGTCCCATTTGACCCAGCTATTCCCCTGCTGGGGATCTTCCCCAAAGAATTAAAAGAATCATACAACAGCAATACATGTGCACCCATGTTCATAGCAGCACAGTTTGTAATAGCTAAAACTTGGAAGTAGCCCAGTTGCTCATCAACTGGAGACTGGATAAAGAAAATGTGGTTTTTTAATAAAATGGAGTACTACTTGTCCATAAAAAATGAGAAATTAGAGACATTTATAGCTAAATGGATGCACATTGAGGCCATACTCTTAAGTGAAATAAATAGGACACACGTGCAAATACCGAATAGTTTCTCTAGTGTGAGAAACTGAAAGTATAAATAAGGACTAAAAGGTATAATAGATAATGTGAAATAGGAAGAAAAGGGGCAAAGGGGTAGGGGGAAGTGGGAGGGGTAGGGGAAAGGATAGAAGGGAAAGGAAAAATTATGAAAAATGGAAAAAAAAGGAAACAAAGTCTTTGTAAATGAGGAAGGGTGGAGGGGGTGAAAGGAGGGCAGAGAATGGGGAAAAAATAAGAACCAAGATGCATCATGTACAGGTACAAGATCCCAATGATAAATGTAAATGTATTGTATGCCTAAAATGTACCAATAAAAGAATTTAAGGAAAAAGAAAAAAAGAAATAGTTACTCAGGACCCTGCATTTTTTCTAGACACTGGATAAAGAACAGGCTATTTGGAAGAAAAATAAGAGACAGAAATCCTGACGTAGTCCTTAGCACAATTCTCAGCATGCTGTAAGCAACTATTAAATATACGAATAAATGAATGAACTAACCTTTGGGGAATCACAAGTAGACTGCATGATTTAGGCCTTTAACAAAATATATATGTATACATTATTATTTGGAAGACAAAGTTTCCAATTTCAAATTCAGTCTTGTGGTGTATTTGATGGATGTGTAAGTTTATTGAGTAATCTTTCATTATATTCATGTGCCTTATAAAAATAAGATTAATAAAGATATTTATTTTCATAAGTCCATTAGGTCTTGGTTTTTCTGAAAATATAACTAAATCACATTGACATCCATAATAGCAACCTCTGGGTCTATTACACCAAAGTGAAGCCATGGTCATATATTCAATAAATATTTACTGAACTAGTCTTGTGTGCTTGGCACCAAGTAAAGTGTTAAATATGGTTCATTCTATTTTTTAAAAAAATTATTACAGATTTACAAGTGGCTCTGAAAACTATCTTAGACCTTTCCTTTGTCCTTATTCATGCTGAATAATGTTAAATGCATAATTCCTTATCTCTACAAAAATACGTCATTTTGTATGTAAATAAACCATGGTTAGAAGTTTAGAATCTTACTCCAACATTTGCATTCAATAATATAATAATTTAATGTGTCCTAGTATTTCTCTTGAACTTCACAAATGGAACCAATACCATCATTAGATGTTTATGGTAATTTTATCATTAAGTTGTTTTCAGGGAAAGAAAATCTTTATGAATTAGTGAAGAGACTAATTTGTAGACCTAAAAGTAAATGTATCCTAATTATATTAAATACTAATTAGGAGTCCAACATTCAAGTGAATTTTAGGGAGGCTACTTTATTTAATAGAGGAGTAATATATAATTAGCTTTAATAATTTCCATATGGTTTAAAAGTTCTCAAATTCATTTTCTTAAGCAAATTAAGAATGTTTCACAAAATCTCTGATATACCACTAATATATTTCTACTTTATGAGCAGCATAAAGCAATTCTTCTTTTTCTGTTTTGCACTACTGGTGATTGAATCCAGGGTCTTTGCTCTAAGCTACATCCCTAGTCCTTTTTTTTTGGAACAGAGACTTGCTAAATTAACCTGCTTTAGTACAGACAGGCATATGCTACCACCCTTGGCTTCAAAATAAAGCTGTTCTTTAACACAGGCCAAACTAGAGTGATTTTGAAGATGTGGCTTTATCCTAAGTCCCCTGTGGAGATCTAGTGTAGTTTCAGCAATCGGCATCTGATTGGTTATTCTAACTGCTTTCTCATTGGGACAATATGCAGAGCTTCTGCCTCAGTCTACCCTCAGTCTCAGCAGCCTTAGGGGTTCGTTCTGTTGGCCTTTCTGCTGCTATGTCTGCTGAGTGTCTGCAGCCACTGGACTCAGGACTCCTGTGTAGTGGGGGTTGTCTTACCCTACATAGCTCCTGCTTCCTCATAGAAGCTGCTGGCATGAGTGTTCTGAAAGGAATGTGGTTCTTTTTCACATTGGAATGAAAAGATATGTTTGGGAAAAGAATTTTGATTTTTGAACCACTGTTCACAGAGGTAGAAAATTGCCCATAGCTAAGTCCTCACACAAATGCATTAAGATTTGATTATCTTCATTTTCTTTGGCTCACCTGCTCTTTCTTTTCTTATACTGCTCAAAAATTTTCATAGTGAATTTACAAGGTAAAGAGAAGTGAGGTAGACTGAGGGATTTGGATGCTATTTGCATTTTAGCCACCTGGAGTCTGCATTTTAAACAAGCTCCCCTGATGCTGCTTCCTCCAGGGATACCAGTGGATCACCGTGGGGCAGGGTCACATACAGGGGGTTTTGTCTATGGCCTAGTGGGGCCATCAAGCCCCCGATGGCAAGATTCCCCTTTTGGGTGCTGATGAGCAGCGGGCTCAGCAGAGCTCTGTGCTCTGGCCAGGAGAGTGGTGGGTACCCAGCATTTCACCTCTGTGCTTTCCACCAGCCCATGGGTCTCAATACCCTTGGGATAAGGGAACACAGGCAACAGCAAGGGGAAGAGCAGCCAAGGGGATAGGCAGGTCACTGCCTTTGCCTGAATGGCATGAGCCAAGTGCCAGGCAGAATTCCCTCTGTGTGGCGAGCACCATTCCTTCAGCAGCCCTCACAGTGGCCTGTACCCATGCTGGGGTGCACACTCACAAACCATGTCTAGAATGGTGCCAGGCCCAAGCGGCCAGGGTGCTCACCAGAGAGCTCTCACCTGACCCTGAGGCCAGGTAGGGTACAGGTCGGAGGCCAGAGACCACCTGCCAAATGCAACCAGGCCAACAGGTCACCACAGTGGGCTCCGGTTAGTCCACTGCAGTTTTTATTCTGGGGCAGGAACATTTTAGATCAGAAGAGAAGGCAAACACTCCACAAGGACAGCACAGTGCCGCATAGGCCCAAGTTCAAGTTTGCCGGCCCAGTATATCAGTGAAGTTACCCAAGAGGGGTTAATCATATCTGACCAAAAGTCCTTGACCACGGTGGAGCTGCCCTGTTCACCATACCAGTTGGTTCGATTGCCTTCTTGGAACCCTGGTGATGAGGGAGAGATCCCAACCTAGTGCTGTGGTGATGGCCACACACATGACTGGCACTGGACGGATGAAATCCACAGCTCTTTGTGAGTCACATACAGTTATAGCCTGGGGGAGGACCACGTCACATTTGGGAGCAGAACGGACAGCCAGAGGCTGTAGGAGGCAGGCTTTGTGAAAGCAAAAGGGTGGGGTGTCCCTGGTTACCCCAAGAGGGGACACTGGTTGTTGGAATAATTCCATGGGTTGGTTGGGAGCTGCTCAAAAATAAGCAGAATTGTTTCTAATATAAGGGGCATTGTGTAGTTTAGGGACCTCGTCTTGGAAGAAAAATTGGGATAGGGATTTGAAGTTAGGTGATTCCAAGCCCTCCCTGTTTTATCAGGTGTCAAAGCACCCCGTGATATTGAGCCTTAATTTTAGGTCTTACACTAGAGTATATGCTTTCTTTCATCAAGCTTTGTGTCTTTTTCTCTCCTAGCTGAAGAGTGTGATGTGATTACTTTGAACTGTCCACCAAATTTTGATGAGCAACATCAGGTAAGATTAATTTCAACTGTTTGTTACCATCTTAGGTATATGGTAATCAAACTGGAACTTTTTAAAGAATGATTTGATAGCGTTTTAAAAACAAAGAATGCATAGCAGAATTTCTTGGTCATGAAATAAATTGGAAAATATAAATATGCCAGTAAGATAGCATGTCTGTACAACTTTTGTAATTTCTAAGAACTGGTAGCTTTAGTCCATTCCTTGAAATAAGTGTTTACCTACATGCCAAAAACAGAGCATCAATATTGGTGAGTGAGGAAGCAAAATTGTTCTTTTTTTTACATGCAATTGGCATGCTGTGGGTGGGAAAAAAATGTTTCTAAAGACGACAATATTGGATAGTGTAATAAAACATTTTTGTAATGGTTTATAAAACTTTTACTTTTTTCATATTTCAGAAGTCAAGCTTTAGCATATTAGTCTTAATGTCTTTTCCCAAGAAGCATATTTATTGTGTTCTGATTTTAAGAGATTTATTAAAGTTCAGATTGTCGGGGGGAAATGTGATTTCACTGTTCCCCTTTGGATGTACCTCCTTTTCAGGCTTCTCTGGGTCACCACAGCTTCAGTTATTTCTTGTCCTGTCTGGTCCACCTCTGCTTGCCCTCACTCAAAGCTCATTAGCAAATCTGCTGAATGCTAAGTAGAGCATTAAATGTCTCAAAAACCATGTGTTGCCTCCAGACAGGCTGGTTCATACCTGTTCAGTTCATACATCAAAGCTGATTTTTAACGCTTCTGTTTAGTTTTTGTTTAAAAACATCAGTCTGTTTTTAGTACTGATATACTTGGGTCCTTTACTCACCTCTATGATACAACAGTTACATAATACTTGATAAAATAAGCAATTTAATTTTAAAGCACTGCTCTCTTGAAAATTGCCTGTAGTGCTGTTAACTTTCTTTTGGGGATTTTAATCATTAACTGTGAATATGAGATTCATCCTCTTTAGTCCTGATGCTCAGCTTTTTCCTTCAAATTATAATCTAGTGATTGACTTCTGCACTGACAGGATTTAGACTATTTCACTAAACCAAAAGTATAAATTTTTTCTTTCTTGTAATCTTTAATTTCTTTAACAAAGTTTTGTTCATTAGGTTTTTAAATGTGATACAGATTTCCTTAAAGATAAAAGAGTGCTGCATTTTTTGTTTCATTTGTTTTTAGGGAAATTCCAACACTGCTTTAGATAAGGCACAGAAAATACATTATGATACTGTTCAGTATTTTTCTAACTTTAATATTACAGTCCTGGGTGTATTAGTACAAACTGTCTTAAAAGATGAAAATATATTTATCAATTTAAAAAAAGGAGGGCCGAGAGACCTATTTGAGATTTTTTTAAGTTTTAGTTTAAAACACAATCCCTTCTATAAAAACATAGGACTGTAAGCTAGCTGCTTCAGTTGGTTATTTCTTTGTATAATCTATAGGATTTGTTCTAACTGCTGGATACCCAGAAAAATTCTTTGAAACGAACTTGGCACTAAGAACAAAGAAAACTCACAAGGGAAGAAACGTTTAAAAGAGAAAAAGAGAAAGCAACCCACACTCCACTTTCTATAGTTTAGACATTAAAAGCAAGCTGGAAATGATTCTTGTAATTTGAAAACTGAAATCCACTTTCACTAAGACTTAATTCCTGCTGCCTTTCCTTGAACCCTGCAGAGGAAAAACATTGTGGTGTCTAATGGCAGAAATTAAAGTCTCGGGCAAAATCTTACAAAGAACCCTTGACTTTTAGTCATTTAAAATCAGTATCTTATCTACTAGAGCTATCTTGTTCCTCCAGTTGATTACAACTGGTATTTATTGAACATATAATCTTGGACTTGGACTGAGGTGGTTTGTTGTTTTGTTTCGGTTTTGGTGCTGGGGATTGAACCAGGGCCTTCTCACTGAGCTAATCCTGTCCTTTTAACTTTTTTTGAGACAGGGTCTCACTAAGCTTCAAGTTTACAGGCTGGGCTCAAATTGGCAATCATCATGCCTCAGCCTCCCAGAATGCTGGGATTATAGGGAGTATACCACTATGCCTGGCCATTCTGTCTGTCTGTCTCTCTCTCCCTCTCCCTCCCCATCTCCCTTCCCCTCCTCCTCCCCCTGTGCTAGAGATAGAACACAGGACCTTGTACCTTTGAGGCAAATATTCTGCCACTGTGCTGCACCCTCAGCTTTGAGTCTGTGTATTTTTGGATATAAAAAGGCAGGAGGGGAAGACAGGGATGAAGTGCCCAGGCAGGATTTATAGTGTTGTTGGAGATGAGTACACACAAATATCAGATTCTAGGATGTAAGCATGGCTCATGTCTGTAAATGATTTCCAAGATGCTTTATGTTGAAGACGTTTTCTGTAACCCTTTTTAAACAATAACATTTTTGACTACACGCACAGGTGTATGGGAAATGAGTGTAACACCACATTTGTAGCCAAGAATCCATGCCAAGAAGAGTCTGAACTAATACTAAAAATAAGAAAAATAGGGGCCGGAGATTTAGCTCAGTGGTTTTGCTGCCTGCTGCGCAAGCGCAAGGACCCGAGTTTGATCCCTGGTACCAAAAAAAAAAAAAAGAAAAGAAAAATAGTGAATATTAGGATGTTAAACTGAAATTAGAGGTTATGGAAAGAGTGATATTTTCTCAACTAAAGTTTTGAAGTTTTAGAAGCCACATTAATTCTTGGCTCATTTGGTTACTTCAGAAGTGTCATACTAAGTAAAGTAAGAAGTTAATAATAAGAGAAACTGGATGTAGACACATAGTTCCTCTATACTATCTTCTTACATTTTCTGTAAATCTGAAACTATTCTAAAATTTAAATTTAATTTAAAGCACACTACATAAAATTTAGAATCTAGGAAGATGAAAGAACTCATCCACAGTTCCACCATTCTAATACAACTATTTTGGTCATTTTGGTACAATGTCATGTGCACAATTATAAAAAACTTGTTTCCAAACAATTTTATATTGTAAATTTTATATTCTGCTGTGTTATTTACTATATCACAGGGGTTTTATCGGTTTGCTCTGGGGTCTCACCATCATCAAACTGCACCTTGGCCTTGAGACCGTCATGGTCCAGTGCAGTATGATCCAATCATCTGTGACATGGAAATGAGTCTAGGGCTTGAAAGCCAGGGTGAGAATCCTCCAGTAGGAGGGATGGTGTAAGCAGAGGCTCTGAGGACAGGCTGACAGAGAACTGGAGCAGAAGCTGTGTCCTGGGAGATCTTAGGCTGTAAGCTGGCAGGTAAGTTGGGGCCCGAGTTCCGGAGCCTTTACTCTAAGACAATAGTAGTAGAAGGTACTGGGGTTTTTAAGTGATGATCCCATGGCTTACACAGACAGTGGAAAAAGCAGATGAATACTCTAGATCAACTGAAGCCCAAGGCTCTATGTCCTTCTGCACTCTGAGGACCCATTATCTATTGGTGGATGATCTGTCATTTTTCCACTCCCCGCTGATAACCCATAATCAATTCTCCTTTGTTTTTAAAAAAATTTAATACACTTTATTCTTTAGAGGAGTTTCAGGTACACAGAAACCTGAGTGGAAGGTACAAAGATCTATTTAACATCCACCCCCTCATACACAGCCTCCCACATTGTCAACATCCGCCACCACACTGGAGTATTTGTCATCATCAGTGAATCTACGTTGACACATCATTGTCACCTGAAGTCCACGGGTGTTCATTAGGGTTCACATTTGGACCCTGCCTTTGTGGCTTTGGACAAATGTCTAATGTCTTGTCTCTGCCATTATAGGATCATATGGAATGCTTTCACTGCCCTACAAACTTTTATGCTTTGCGTATTCATCCTTCCCTTCCTCTAGCCCCTGGCCACCTCTGACTGCCTTACCGTCCCTATAGTTTTGCCTTTTCCAGTAGGTCATAGGGTGGTTTTCCGTGGCTTTTTTATACTTAGTAATACACAATTAAGATTCATAGGGCCGGGGATTTAGCTCAGTGGTTTCACCGCCTGCTGTGCAGGTGGAAGGACAAGAGTTCAATCCCCAGTACCAAAAAAAGATTCATCCATGTCTTTTCATGGTTGATGGCTCATTGCTTTTTAGTACTGAGTAATATTCCATTATGTGAATGTACCAGTTATTTATTCATTTATCTCTGGAAGGACGTCTTGGTTGCCTCAAAGTTATGACTAGAGCTGCTATAAACATCCATGTGCAGCATTTCATGTGGACGTAAGTGTTCAACTGAATAAATGCCAGGGAATGTGACTGCTGAATCATATCGTAAGAGAGAGTTTTGTTGTGTAAGAAAATCCCAACTGGTTTCCAAAGTGGTTGCTCCATTGGAATTCCTGCAAGCAATGAATGAGAATTCATTCATTCACATCCTTTCCAGCATTTGGTGTTGTCAGTGTCTGGATTTTTGCCATTCTAGTAGGTGTATAGTGGTATCTTGTTGTTTTAACTTGACAACATATGATGTGAAGCCTCTTTTAAAATGCAAATTTGCCATCTATATCTTCTTTAATGGGATTTCAAGTCAGGTCTTTTACCCATTTTTTCATTGGTTGTTTGTGTTCTTATCGTTGGGTTTTAAGGTTTGCATGACAGTCCATTATCAACTAAGTCTTTTGAAAATATTTTCTCCCAGTCTCTGGCTTTTCTTCTCATTCTTTTGGCAGGGTCTTTTGCAAACCAAGAATTTTTACTTCTTTTTTTTTTTTTAATACTGGTGATCGAACTCAGGACCTTGGCACTTGCCAGGCAGGTGTGGCACCACTGAGCTACATCCCCAGCCTCTAGAATTTTTACTTTTAATGAGGTCCCTTTTATCAGTTCTTTCATGGCTTGTTTGCCTTTGCACCTAAAAAGTCATCAACATACTGAGGTCAGCTAGATTTTCTCCTATATCGTCTTGTAAGAGTTTTACAGTTTTGCATTTTACTTTTAGGTCCAGAGTGCAAGTCCAGTTGTTCCAGCACCATTGTTTGAAACTTAACTATGCTCCATT